GTGTGTGTGGATAACTAAAACTGTCAGACTTTGAATTAATCATTTTAAGAGAAACTATCCTTGGAAAGGTGAAATGCAGAACTCCAAAGCCGCGTAAAGCTGCCTCAGTACTGGGTGCAGACTCTCTTGTAAATTGCTAACTGAGAAGATGTTTTGATGCAAGGAGTTCTCTTAACTTCTGGTTGGGAGCGTGATGGATGATTTGGAACAGTGAAATATTGTGAAGCAATATGTTGACTCAGGATTCTGGAGATTATGGAGGTGGGTGCCACAGTGGTGTTGAGTTTGGGAGGGGAGTAGACTTTCTTGGGTCCTTCCAATCGCAGAGTCCGACGCTGTGCGCCCTGCCCTGTGCAACTTCAGTGCTATGTGGAGATTCAAGACGAGTTCTGCTGCAGTTTTTGTACAGATCTGACCGTGACCCGAGCCACTAGGAGCTACAGATTGCGGTTTCTCGGATTAGAGGCAGAGCCATTCCATTATGGCTTCCGGCGACTGTTTTTTGACCGCAGATGTGCTGAAATATATGTATGATATAAAAAAAATTAACAAAAAAAAACAATGTGATTAGCACTTGCTTTTTTTAAATGTTAATATGTGTTTCTGATCTACAAATATGATTTTAATGCTTTCTCATGTAGTTTTGTATTTTCAGGCAAAAAAAATCTTACTGTATTTGAATGTCTTATTTTATTTTATTATATATTATTATTATTATTAATAATTTTGTTAGCACACATTAGGCTTGCTGTAATCATACTCCTGTCTCAGCATATAAGTTCTTTCTGTGAAAGAGGAATAACAAAGAAAATATCAGAAAACGAACACTAAATTGTCCTCCAGCATTTTTTTTTTATGAGGTGACTTTTAAGTTAACTTCTTTTTATGTGAACTATTGAAGTGTGGAATTTACTGTTGTGCCGGTTCAGAAATGTTTGCATCACCTTTGTTGCTGCCATAATCAGAAAAAAGGGTTATTTTTGCCTGTTGTATTTATCTCTCATTTTTAAGTTCCCTTTCTGAATATTTGGAGCTTTAATCTCCAAGTGGTTTTAAGTGTAAAATAAGGGCCCAAAGAATTCTGAAACATGTTTGACCATTAATCTTATACAGAATGTAAAGAAAAGAGTTCTATTAAAAACAACCCCAGAGCATTTTCATTCAGTTAATTTTTTTGTCCATGTGATCATAGCATCCTGAAAATGCCTCTTGACTTTTCAAATAATTTGTATTGCATTCTTTTGGGCCCATGGCCTGATTTATGTATGATAGGGATTTTGAAAAGCCTTGCTGGAGTTGGTTATATCGGAGGCCTCTGGCCTCTTTAAAGCTGAGACAAGTATCTCTACAGCCCCATTGTCTTTTTGCCCCTCAAACTCCATCTATGTGTAATGTGGTGACTGTGGCTTCTCATGCAGCCTGAATTATTTGCATGTGTACCATAACATCTAGACTTAATATATTGTGAAGTCTTCAATAACCATTATGTAGATGCTAGTATGAATTAAAAAAGGGTTTAATTTCCTAGAAAAGAACAGAAACTGGTCATTTTTAAGAAAATAAACTTTATTAGATCAACACTGCTTGTGCTTGATTTTGTTGATTCCTAACAGTACGTTTGACATGTAAAGCGGAAGTTTGCTGTTTTAATCACATGCGTTATAGGTTGCACTGCTTTTTGATAAAACTGTAGCCTGAAAACCCCTAACAGCTGTCACTACAGTTCAACAGAATAGTATACCGCCTTCAAGAGCTTGTTAAACATGACTCGATTACAGTTATAAGACAAAACCACCCTGATTGCGGGTGTCGCCTTCCTGTAATACTCTAATGCAGATACTCCACTTGTGCAAATAACGTAAGTAAGTGCTGTAGGAGACGTTTACAGCGGTGTGTTTTATCTAGTCTGATAAGAATAAGTCATTATTGACTGAATTCATAAACCTTTTGCTCTCCCAATTTCTGGGTAAATATGCGCCACCTATCGGCAAACAACCTAAACAAGATTTCAGAGCTAGATATCTGCTGAACCGCATTGATCTTCAGATATTTTGTGGCATGTTTATGCACTCATGTTTCAAGTATGTTATTCTTTGTTCTGCCAAGTTTTTGTTTTATTTGAGAATACATCACCCATAACTCTTCAAAAGTTGTTTGTGGCCTACATTTTTTAGATCGATTTGTTTTTATACTGTAGGCTTCAATGAAACAAACTCTCTTGCTTTGAGATTGTACTCATCAAAAAAACCTGTTACATGCAAGGATACAGTTTTGAGAGAGTATTTGTATAGTATTCCACACTTTTGTTTGGGTCATTGTAATCTAAAGGTTTGTGTTAATAACAAATTAACTGCTTTCGTCGAATACTATCACAAACACAAAAAATTGTGCATGCATTAATCAAAGAAACTAAAAACTGAAATGAATGAAAAGCATTTCAGAAACATGACTGGTAGGTAGTTCAGACTTTTAAGGCCAAATAAATGGAAGTGTGTAGTGTTTACACATACAGCCTTGAACTGCTTATCTAGGGAAATGAGTGGAATTGGATTGTATATTAAACTGGATGGCCTTTTTTAAGACAGAAAAAAACTTTTCACCTAATGAGGACCCACATCTACATTTTAAAAAATAATGTGATATGAGAGAAATCAGATACAGATAAATTCCTATAGCCATCTGGGATTAAAGCCATAACCCCCGTCATAGACACTTTAAATACATATCAGATTGGGGTTTTCAGTGGCTTCAACTTCAACTTACATTTGTCTACCCCCCAATCTTGTATGTTTGGTTACGTCCTTATCTGGGATAAACATGTGGCAAAAAGGTAACAGCACATTGACAGCATTGGACACATTACAGGACAAAAAGCATTCCTTAAAAGCCTTACTTTTCAAAAACAGAGTTGTAATTATGTGGAAAAACGTGGCACACAATGTTCGGGTGAAAAAGTTACACATTTGCACATGCAAACACATTGGAACAGATTTGGAGAAATTTAGCATCACTTCCTCATCAATGGATTCTTTGTAATGAATAAGTGAGAATCCAAACAGCTTATTAAAAACATCACAATAATTCACACAAGTCATCCACATGACTCCATCAATTAATTAATGTCTTGTCAAGCAAAAATCTGTTAATTCTGTTAATAGTAATAAACAAATCCATCATTGAGGCATTTTTATTCAATTCAATATCAAAAATATCAATAATATTGCTTTCTCCAGTGAAAAAGTATAACCTTGTTTGAATCAGATGAGAAATATGCATTATGTTATGATTAATTATGACTGGTATTTTGGCCATCTTAATGATGGATTTGTTTCTTATAAACATGCAGCAATGCATTAATTGATGGACTGGAATCGTGTGGATTACTTGTGGATTATTGTGATGGTTTTATCAGCTGTTTAAACTCTGACGGCACCCACTCACTGCAGAGGATCCATTGGCGAGCAAGTCATGTACTAATTATTACTCCAAACATTTCTCCAAATCTGTTCCAATAAAGAACCAAACTCATCTACATCTTGCATACCCTGAGGGAGAGTAATTTTTCAGCATATTTTTCATTTTTTGCTTAATTTTTTTTTTAATTTTTAACATTTGATAATTTCATTGGAATATTCATGTTTTTCATGTCTGTAATAAACAGCCCAGTGTGTGGTTTCTATAAAAGTGCTTGACATAATGTTAAAATAAGAAATAAATGAATAAATACTTAAAATCAATACTTTAAAACTAAATTGTCTTGGTCATGTTTTATAGCAAAATGAACAAGTAAGTTTTGCACTAATCTTAATTTAACTGAGATTCATGCTATGTCTGTGTGAGACCCTTCAGAATGAAGCATGCTGTATCTCTTCTCAACTTTGTCCTCACTGTCCTCTGCTGAAGACCCTCCTCCAGCCCACCTCAATGCCATAAATCAATCATGTGATTGGAAAGCAACATGCATCTGGTTGCATAAACAGCTCCTATAATAAGGCTACAGTTAATACACTTTTACCTCTTTCTAATTGTTTAATTAAATAATGCAGGCCAGTTGACCTGCATTTAAGGTTTACAATTACCCCGTTTAGATTGAAGGGTATTTACTCTTTGCTACTCCAAAACAGCTAGATGTGATTTACCAACACTTTATTTTAGTTGGTATTGAAAACTGTTTGCTTGTCAGAACCAATCATAATGTACAATGCACATTAGAAATAACTATTAAAACATCGCAAACTTATTTTGTTGTTATTGACTGATTATTAGTTACTTATGGCCAGTGTTGGGGGTAATATATTACAAGTAATGCAAGTTACGTAATCAGATTACTTTTTTCAAGTAACTAGTAAAGTAACGCATTACTTTTTAATTTACAAGAGAATATCTGAGTTACATTACTTTTAAAAGTAACTTTCCCCAACACTGCTTATGGCTGCATTTAGAACAGAAATTAAGCATGAAAGGGTTAAATCTTTCAGCCTGAAAGGGTTAAATATTTAATAGTATATAAAAAGTACAATAATATGGTCGTGCTCCTGACTTTCCAGCGAGTTTAAAATCTCATTGGAGCACAGTACTTATGTAAATTGGTAAGTTTTAAGTACCTCTACTCTACTTCACATCGCGAAGTAGCTTGTGATTGGACGACGAGCCTCCAGGACTCCCCCGCTAATGACGCCACAGCATCTGACCTCTTTTCCAGCGTAAGCTGGTTGGTGGTCAAACACCGTCTAAATTGGTAAATTCTCAATGAGAATATGTCTGAATGTCAAAATGTCTGAATCTACACCGACCGGTTTAGGCTCTCCTCTAAGCGAAACCGTTTGAAATACCACCGAGTTTTTCCGTCACAAACCTCGCACGAACGAATGAATAACGCGGTGCCACGCGGAGCGCATGCTGAACGCAATTGCTAGGTTTGCTAAAAATGTGCTACTGCGATGCGGCAGTTGTCAGGGGGATATCGGAGAGGAGGGGGTGTGATTGGCTGAAGTGGCCCTGTTGCCTTGGCGACGGTAGGGGGGGTACGGAAGCGTTGCCGTGCGGCGTGATCTCCGCGCTGCGTGGATGGAGGAAGCAGCTGCTGATCTTTTGACACAGCGCGAGCGAAAGGCTACTGCATGAAAGCACTGGAGCTTTGTCGTCGGACGCGATAGTAGAATGCACGAATGTAAGTAAACTCTTTTCGGTGCGATTTGTAATTCTGTTTATTTGAAGGGAAATCTTTTATGTCAGCGCGTTTTTAACCAGATGACAAGTATAAAACGTGTCTCGTGAAAAAAATCTAGCCAATAACAAGCCTTTGACCTCCCTAATTTGTGTTTACGTTTTTTTAAACGAATATTTTTTTAATTAAACTTTCATACTGAAATATACACACGCCTGTTTTATTTCCAGAATAAATTTATGAACATTTTAGACCATGTGATTTCGCTGGCTAACTTAGTGGAGTAAAATGCGTGCGTTTGCCGTCGAGCTGACACGAGACATTAAACCAACCACATTCCAGTCGTATTCGTACACTTTTCCTGAATGAATACTCATAACACAAAATATATCCAAGGACTTTTTCGTCGCTGTTTTATTTCGCTAGCTGTGCAGAAGCTTGCCGCGAAGCTTTGCTTTAAAGCCACGCATTAGCTTGACGCTAATTGAAGATCCTCGTTCAGCATTCTTGTGACATTATATCTGCAGAAGTTTCAGAACGCAAGACAGATATGCAGTCATCAAATCTATTTGAAATAACATTATGATTCAAACGTCAATCGTCGCGAAAGTGCCTTTGAAATCAAAACGGCATTCGAATAGAACGTTAATCGAACGCGCGATAGTCGCCTATAACAACAGAGTAATGCTAAAGGTTACAGTTGAAGGTTACAAAAATGTATATTCAGTTTGTGTCGAGTAGTGAGAATCTAGGGCAACTAAGTAACACGAGATGTGAGGGTGTGGGCTGTTATTTTCTCTTGTTTTGTTTAGCCTATTACTTGTTGTGGTTGTACATAAGCGTTCGTTGAGATCGAAAGCAAACGACTGGTAGTTTTGCTCGTGACTTGTTGATGAAATGGGATGTTCTGACGCGGACGTGCACTCATTATTTCCGGCGGTAGATAACGTCTGAGTGACATTGACACGTGGTCCGAGTGAACGCATAGCTGTGCTTGAGGAAGAGCTGGGGACGAGTACACAACTCTTGAGCAGCGTGTCACATGAGCACATTATTTAGTTCTGCTGTCTACTTCTGCACTTTAGACTGTAGACTCGTTCAGGTCATGTTGCGTAGGCAGTGAAAAGGGTGTCTGTGTTGTTAACAGGATTGTCATGTAGTTGCTTTTATTTGCAGTATGACCACATTAGTTGCATCCACAGTGGACAGAATTCAGATGCATAGCTAGCTACATCTGAAAGGGCACAATTGCCTAAAGAGACTTCATTAGTACCGAATCCTGCGCTAATGTAGTGAATGGCAATAGTGTCTGTGCAGTGCTGTGTTCTCTGGAGGGCTTTTGTAGGACACAGTAAATGATCCCTTGCTTATTGCTTCTCTCCTGGCATTATAACGGGAAATTAATTAGTCTCATTATGACTCTCACAATGATAGATAAGATCTGGCTCTTGGCTGTATGCAGTTGCTGTCCCTCAAAAGCTGAAGAAATGAGAAATGCAGGCAAAACATTTAAACTCATACACTCTTTCAACCAGGTTTGGGTGTTTATATATATATATATATATATGTGTGTGTGTTTGTGTATGTATGTACATATATTAAGGTCTGAAATATATTTATTTTGTTTTATTTAATAAATGTATATTTTATTATTTTATTTATAGAGACATTTAAACCTGGATGAACCTTGTAGACAAAACACAAATGTTATTTTATTGAATATTTTATTTCTAAAGACATCCAAACTTGGTTGAACCTTGCAGACAAAACAGTTTATTGTCATTTTGAATAAAATACAATTATATATATATATTATAATTGTAATTATACGAAGCTACGAGAATACTTTTTGTGCGCAAAAGAAAAAAAAAAACATCTTTATTCAGCAATTCGTCGTCTCCGCATCACCCTGGTGCCATTTTGGAGAATATCCGCTGGACGTAAACAGCGTATGCTGTTCTGTGTCAGCTGCGTCACACGGATATGCTGTTTCCGTTCACATCAAATCACAACAACGTAGGAAACAGATCCGGTGTGACGGATTCTCCAAATCCGTCTCCAAAATGGCACCAGGGTGATGCGGAGGAGACAAATTGTTGAATAAAGTCGTTATTTTTTTTCTTTTGTGCACAAAAAGTATTCTCGTAGCTTCGTATAATTACGGTTGAACCCCTGATGTCACATGGATTATTTTACAGATCTCCTTGCTACGTTTCTGGACTTGGGAACATTTCAGTTGCGTTGCTGTCTATGCAGGGTCAGACAGCTCTCAGATTCCATCAAAAATATCTTAATATGTGTTTCGAAGATGAACGAAGGTCTTACGGGTTTGAAACGACATGAGGGTGAGTAATTATTGACAGAATTTTCATTTTTGGGTGAACTAACCCTTTAAGCAGCAGTCAACAACAGTTTAATCAGTAGATATAAACTGGCTTCCAGCCCAAGAAAGAAGAGTAGATTCTTCATTCTCACTGCAAGAGGGGTTTAAAAAAAACACCGTCTTGTTAGTAAAACCACAAATTTACGTTTAGCAACCCTTCCTGGTTGAGTGGCATAACATGTAAACTAACATGCAGTTGCTTTCCTCCAAAGACAACCGAGCTAAATGCCCACTTTATTTTATTTATTTATTTTTTTTAGTAAAACTCATCAGCTTTTCCAAACTCAATTGAAAGGCAAATTAAACTTATGTCCAAGCTTTTATGCGGCCTGTAACGACAGTGCCTTTGTTCGTTGACCCCTTCTCCTTCCATCCTCTCATTATACCTCCAGCTGCACATATTTCTCATCTGCTGTTAGCCTCTTTTTGTTCCTTGATGCCCTCAACGTTAGACCAGGAGGCGCAACTCACATCCCCAGGAGGCTATAACGCTGTGGTTGCCATGGCTACATGGTGACACCGGGGCGTGGTAATCAAATATAGGCGACTGCTCTGGATTTCAGTTACAAATGTGCGCTTTTTTTCCTTCATTTGCCTGGACCGTGTCAGACCTCACGCCCTCCCCAACCCCCAACTCAACCTTGTGTTCTTAGACTTGGTCTGGCACACTCCTTCTCATTTGGTAACCTTCTCCTCCTTTCTGAAAGATTTAAGTCCACAGAGCAGCCGGCGGGCAGTTAGGGCCCCTCTGTCCATTGACAGTGATGCTAATGTCAGGCAGTGCCTTGATGAGGAGAGCTTGCCCCCCAGTACCATAGCCTGTGTTATTCTGATCACAATAGCCTCCATTGTGTTGGTCACTCCTGTGTGAATAAACAGGGTGTGTTTAATTGAGACTGTAGGGTGTGACAATGGCACGGGATGAAGTCCAGACAGCACGCTGTGAAGATTGTGTGGCGGCTTGTATGTATGAATGCCTGTATGCCACTACCATGTAAAGCTCTAAGAAACGGAAACCCTGCTAATATCTTATTCATGTGTAGGTGCTTGTTTTTTAAAAGCCTATATGAACATAACTTGCCAAAAGTTACAGCTATTTACAGTGCTTTTTTTAATTCATAGGGTCTATTTATGTTTTTTCACTTTCATTACAAAAGTGATGCAGACTACAAGTTGGACCTGCAATGAGCTGATTCAGATTTTTATGATTAAGAATTCAGTTGCTTCTGTATCTGCATTGCAAGTGAATGATGCAACAAATCAGAATACTCCTCTTTCAATGAACAAGTCTGTCCACACTACAGAAAGATTCAGTTGTAATATGCGTCTACACTGAGAGCATTTGGAGCAATGCAAAATTAAGAATACTAAATATATGCTCCAATTAGTATCATCTAGCATACACTACCAAAAGTTTGGGGTCAGTAAGTTTTTCTTTCTTTCTTTCTTTCTTTCTTTCAAAAAATGTATACTTTTATTCATCAAGGATGCATTAAATTGATCAAAATTGACAGTAAAGACATTTATAATCTGTTTCATATAAATGCTGTTCTTTTGAACTTTCTATTCATCAAAGAATCCTGGAAAGATATTTTTAAAAATAAATATTAAAAAAATTACAATTTTAAGCAGTACAGCTGCTCGTCAACACTGACAAAAATAAGATATGTTTTTTTTTTTTTTTTTAGCAAAAAATCGGCATAAAATATGTTTTTTTCAGCAAGGATGCATTCAATTGATCAAAATTTTTTTTTTTTTTTTAGCAACAAATCGGCATAGAATGATTTCTGAATGATCATGTTAAACTGAAGACTGGAGTAATGGCAGCTGAATATTCAACTTGCCATTACAGAAATATATATTTCAAAAATATAATAATATTGGACAGTATTGCTGTTGTTACTGTATATTTGATCAAATATATACAGCTTTGGTGAGCATAAGATACTTTTTTTTCCAAAAACATTAAAAAGTTCCATGCTTTTTGCTTGCAGTGCAGAATGGGTGTAAAACGTTTAATTGGCGTAGTGTTCATTGACAAATTAATTCCGAAAATTCAAGTCATGTTTCTTGTAATATTCATAAATATATGCAAATATTGTCATTGATTGGTGCATAATGACAGAATTTAAACTGTGTTCCATTTAACAACCAAATTTTGTCATAAAAGCACCAAAATGTTGAGCCTGAATGAAAAACCAAGACAATTTAATGCCAAATGGATTTGTTTCTAAACTGCTGCATCCAATTAAAGATGAATTAGTGGATTTGCTGACAAATTATTGTGAATATTAAGTATACAAGTTTTACATAAAGTTGTCAAGAAGTTAACAAATGGGAAGCATTTTTGAAATTTAGGAATGTATTTGTTCATTTGTGTGTTTAAATGGACTTTGACTACATTGATCAGGAAATTAAAAACATTTTTCTGAGTTGAGTTTTGAAATGTTTAATATTTAAAATGGAAGGTGATAGGAAACAAACTCAGGCATTGTACATGTGGTGTCTTTACTGCTGTGGATTATGGCTTTCAAGCTTCCAGAACCCTTGCAGCATATCAATGTGTTTAAGAAGCTTTAGCTTTGAATCTTGATTCAGAATTGTGGAGGAAACTAGCCCC